CCAGCCTGCCGCCCTTGGAAGCCTCCACAATCCTGGGCAGGGAGAGCACAGTCATGTCCCCCGTGTCCCCTCCCCAGGCTGGGTGGCCATGGGGTGCCAGGGCAGGGGGGTTGGGGCATCCCCATGCTCACCACCTGGGCACCCTGTGGCCTGCTGCGGGGCAGGGGTTGGGGATCAACGAATTTTCTGTGATTTGGGCACTTACGTTTTAATGAGCTGCTTGGCGTTCTACGGGGAGCAAGAGGAGAGGTGAGTGAAGCCACATGGCAGCCACTGGGATGTCCCCAAGCTGGTGGGACACTCTGTGGGTACCGGTGTGGGGAGGGGAGATGTTTGAGGGTCTCACCATGAGGAAGGCAGCCCCTCCAGTCTCCTCCATCGCCTGGATGGCCGTCTCCACCAGCTGGCTCGACTTCTCCAGTTGCTCCTTGTACTGGCTGATGAGGCTCTGGACGAAGCTGGTCTTGTCACCCTGCTCGTGGGTGATGCGCTGCAGCAGCTCTGACTTCTTCTCCTCCAGCAGCGCTGACAAGGTGTCGAAGCGAGCGCACAGCTCCCGCTTGGCTGCCTCACTGTTCTCCTGCAAGGACAAGGGATGCCATGTGTGTGTCCCTACGTGTCCCTCAGCACCAGCAGCATCCCAGGGGCTTCCCTGCTCCTTAGGCTTCAGCTCCCTCCCAGCCACCCCCAATGCTCCCCAGGAGGTTTCACCCCTGGGTTTTGTAGAGCTCCTTTTCCCCCTTTCCTCACCTCGGTGCTCCGGCATGAGTCCTCCAACTGGGAGATGATCGTTTGGATCCGGTCGTTCCCTGCCACCAGCATGGAGATGCAGTTGTTCAGCTCAGTCTGGTTGGAGGTGGATGGACAGAAACAGCTTGAACCCCAGCAGGGACATCTCCCATCCCAACATGGGGATGGGCTGGGCATTTCCTGGCCCCAGCTCTGCTCCCCCCACATCCCCCCCAAGCCATGGCCACTCTAAATATAGATTGTCTCCTGGGCGAAGTCACCCGGGGGCTATTAATACCCCATGAGCAGGTCCCAGTGCTATTTGTGATCATCCCAGCTCAGCACATTGCCCTGGGACCAGCCGTGTCCCCCGCAGCCCCCCTGTCCCCACCACATGGCACCTTCTGGCCCTGGAAGATGGTTTGCAGGGGAGCAACCTCGCAGTCCTTGTGGGCACCGAAGACTTTGCACATGGAGCAGGTGGGGACCTCACAGGTGACACAGTAGATGTTGATCCGCTCGTCCTCATGCTCCTTGCACATGGGGTGTTTCCCCTTCTTCAGTGGCCTGCTGGAGAGAGAGGCACGGCCACGGTGATGTCCCCATCATGGTGACATCCTCATTGGGGTGATGTCCCCATGGCAGTGACAGCCTTGCCACAATGATGTCCCCATTGCAGCATCATCCCCACTGAGGTGACATCCCCAACATCAAGTTCCTGGGAGAGAGGCCAGATTGCGGCACAACCCCACACTTGGTCCTTCAGGAGCCACCAACCTCTGTAAGCCCCTAGCCCAGTAAGTTGGAGTTTAAACCAGTGTGGCACTGGGCAGAGCAGCAGTTGGCACTGGTGGGTGAGGGGCCCTGGGGCTGCACTCCAAGGACGCTGCACAAGCACCTAATTTTAGCCTCGGACTGCTGGGATTTATTGTCACCCAACGTGTGACCAGGGTGAGGGCACCCATAAAATCCTAGGGGGTCCCAGCCAGGGGCTGCAGCTGAATCATCCCCTCTGCAGCAAGGGGGGGACACGGGGACAAGCCAACCCCCTGAATCACAGACAGAGCTGGCCCCCCGATC